CAATGGACCTCATTCTTTAAGCACACACGGCTTTTGTAAGGGCTGTTAACAATGACTGTCCAAACACAACAGCCAGCTCCTCAAGTAGCACACATAATGAATGGGCCTGCATACACAATCCGCTCACATTTCATATCGCAACAGCAGGAGGTCATTATAAGAGCACAAGTAATTAACAAATACACACAAATATGCAAACTGAACAGAGATCCTTGTATGTGCAAATGTGCATGTCCCTAAATGTATTTAACTGATATTTTGCAGTGACATCCGGCCATACACATACATGCAGCAGTTACCATGGTGACAAAATACACACATTAGCAAACATGACCCAGAAAGATTTAAAGATTATCTGAATATTCAATAAAAAAATACAAAATGGATTTAAACAGCATATTCAGGAGCATTTATGTTCCTGTGTAGGTGTCAACAAAAAAGGGAGAGTAATTGATAAACTGCTGTCTAATGCTAGTAGTTTGGACTGTATTGTTATTTGAGAAAGATTTGTTAAACAGTAAACATCAGCTCATTTCATGTAGTTCCAACTAAATCTAGTCTATCTTGACCCAGATTGTTTTGCAGTATACAGTAGCAGTAATTTATAGGTTAGATTATATTATTTTATTAAACCGGGATAGTAGTCACACTGAGGGTTGGAATCTGTGGTTGGGGAAACCAGAGCATCTATGAGGAGAACATGCAAACTCTGCAGAAAGTCCAAACTCGGCCTGAGAGTCGATCCTCGGACCTTCTTGCTGTGAGGTTGAAGGTCTAACTGCTGCACCACTCTGATGCCCAATCTTTGGAGAGGCGACCTTCATTCAAGATATTTTAAGCAATAAACACATGTAATTGAATACATACACAAGCTCAGATGGTTATGTTTTTGACCCTGTGAACACTTAAATCTAAACCAAACCAAATGTGATCAAAATGAAAACGTTGCAAAACAAGTATTTGGCCAGACCGTATGTTCCTAATCACAGTCAGAACTTCTGACACATGAGAATACCCGAAACGCTGAGACATTCCACACTTTGTTGGAAACTTCTGTCTGTAATGAGGAAGAAACTGTAGCAAAGTCATTCTTGGACTGGTCCCAACAGTCACTCCTGTGTGAGTTAGCCCATATTACGCTAATTTTTCATCTGCAATGTTGTTTCCTCATCAAAAAGATACCTGGAGTTGTTTAGTTTCATTCACACATGTTTGCGTAACCCTTTACGATTAGTCTGTCTACTTCTCCAAAGCTCAAAATGCTTTAACAACATTTTAACATGACTTAAAGCTCACAAGAGTCTTTTTTTTTAATATAGCACCTTTAAACTGTGCACCAGCAGACATACCTTGTTCCAGGCAGTAATACCCAGTACATAAAATTTGAATTACTGCTGCATTGACCTGTCCATATGGCCTCCTCTTAGGTTTGTTTGACTGCCCTGAGAGCTGTGCGTACACTCCACCAGCTGCTGTGAGACCCTGTGGTTTATGTCTGCCCGCATTGCTCCTTAGAGGTTAAGTATATCATTTATTGCCTTGTTAAGGGAGCCACTGCTTAGTCTCGGGAGTTGTCTTGTTTTGCAGTTAACCAACCCACTGTTCAGACTTGAGCTTTTGTCCCTGTTGTCTGTAATGGTTTCAGTGTAACACACATCTTAGTCATTACGTGAGTCAGTCATTTAAATAAATAATTTTCTGCAGAGGAAGCTGACCCCAGGCCATTTGTTGTAAACAGCAGAGAAGCACTGATTATAATAGTTTACAGAAAGCAGCTGTAATGTCTACATACTTGTATCTCTTATTATTATTCAATTGACTTAAAATAAAATAACGTCTGACCAAGGAAATACCAAGGTCAGGGAGAGCAGTGCTGATGAACTCAGAATGGAGAGCACACACAGCTCACGTAATGGTCAAACAAAGGCTCTCTCACAGGGTGGACTGAGGTCAGAGAGTGTGACTTCATCAGAAAAGCTAGTGCGCCTTTAGTGGTTGTTCCCATAAATAAATTAGTTACTTAAAGCAAATGATCAACCATTATAAACGTCATGTCTTTAAATGTTAATAATGTGCTAATGCAATGATCATGGAACAGTACAAGTACAAGTGCATGTTTTTCTTTGACATTATCTTGTCTTTTTATATTAGATTAGATTTGATTAGAAAACTTTATTTATCCCCAAGGGGCAATTCTGTTTGCAGTCACAGACCACAGCATAAAAAACACACACATACATTTCACACAGGTCAGGGGCTCGTACAATTATGGGCATCAGAACTGAGCATTAGTGCAAAAAATTAGACATAAATGCATCATCCCTTCAATAAATGAATACAAATACAAATACAGCATTTTATAGATTGTCATATGAGTGTAACATTGTTTATTATTATTATTATTATTATTATTATTATTATTATTATTATTATTATTATCATTAAATGTATTATTTCATTTTTGCATTTGAATTATGTGAAATTATATTATAAAACCTCCAATTAAGCAAAAATATTAACTGAATATAAATGCAAGATCTTAAAAAAAATCACTGTATGTGCATTTAGTGTTTAAAATTCAGTGTTATAAAATACAGTGTTATACATGTGTTGTAATTAAATACAGTGTTTTAAAATTCAGTGTATAAAAATAACCTTATCTCTTATCGCACTTGACTTTGGAGGGTTATTGACTTAAGTCCAGTTTGGGAATATGCATTGGTATTAATATTTAAAATTAAAAATTATTCTTTAAAACAAAACAGTAATATTAGACAAACAGATGCATATTCATTATAGGAGAACCTAAATGACACTAAACTTATTCTCTAGTGCATGCTCTTTTCTGAATTAAATCTAGAAACCAGTGGAGCTGCAGAGACTTTGTTAAATGTACACAGCCTTAGAGTGTACAGACCACAGAAGTGTCTGAAGCGCACAAGCTGCACTGGTAATCTTTGTTTTCACTAACGTTTAATCCTGTTTGGTCAGTGCATATCTGATCTTGGGAGGTTTTTATATTTTGCTTGACCTTGAAGTTCAGATTTAATACTATGATTTAATGTATTTATTTTTTGATCAACCATATCTTAACAATAATTTCTCTCAAGTGGAAAACTGGGTACATACATTTCAAGGTGATCTGTTTGTATTGTAAATGTCACTGAAATAAGTCACACTTACACTGAACAGTGCTTAAAGGTGCACTATGTAACATTTTCTGGTGGGTGGTTTGTCTCCATGGATGTTCTTGGTATTGGCATTTTACTGTACCTTGCTTTTTTGCACCATTAATGCCATGCTGCAGGACAGTCCACAGAAAGCAATAACATCTCTAGGTAGTGCACCTTTAAACTCCACAAATGCGTTAAATATATGTTTATGATGACACAAGTCCAGCCAAGGTCAAATCTTAAGTCACAAACCAATTTAGTTCCTTATACGGTGAGTGGTTCTTGGAACAGGAAAATGAGACCAGTCTTTGTTACCAAAGAGACAGCCGTTACAACTGCCACTGCCTCCGAGGCAAAACTTCATACATATTTCCTGCAGCATTCTAATAACACTGGATATTTGTTACTGGCCTTTAGCCATTTCGAAAACAACACGTATATATAAAATTGGGATTTCATTCACATACAAAAGACAGTTTATTTGGTTCAAATGATCACCCCACCACACTTTGAACAAGCACCTATTGTTCCTGCCCCATGTACTGGAGCCTGGTACATAATAGCTGGCCAACTCACTCTCCAGGTACACTATATTTGCTTATGGAAAAAATGAATGAGCAATGAGTTTGGTGCATTTGGTGCGTCATGATTCTGTGATATTTGCATAAACTTTACATTTTGCAAAAAGGAACAACGGAATGCATGTGCCATGAATCTGTATCTACTAACACTTGCATGCATAGTCGATCTTATTGTCAGTATTCATTGAAAGATTAGATCACTTAAAAAAAATGTCTATCATACATTTAATGGATATTGCCCATAATTTTCTTTGTGACCCCCCTTGCTCTTACCACTTTTGAAATCAAAGTCTTTTGTGTGCTGGTTTATTTCTGTTGAAGCACTGAAGTCAGAGGCAGACCCACGCCCACATTTAGAAGCCTGCAGAGACCACCTGTGTTCACCAACATTAGATTTAATTACTGTGGTTTTCTCTTCATGCTGATAGTTCTGACACCTCAGAGGAAACACACCTGGAACAGCACCAGATTGCACTCATAAAAGCAGTAGTTTATATTTTTTATAACACTGCTAATAGGGTTAAGGTTGTGACCCTTTAATTAGTTTAGGTGCTTTTAATTAAATTTAGGTCAAATGTTTTATAATCTCCCCATAATAAGGAAATGTTATTTGTTTTTTACATTTTCAACATACAATGTAGGTGACTGTGGCCATATTGTCTCTAAGGCAGACTTCGGGTCTTTATGGTGGATCACAGCCGTCAGACTAGTCACTTTACTGTAAATATTTATGTGCACGTGTTATTTGACCCGTGTCTCGGTTCTCATGAAACTTTCTTCCTTGTTCTTTGTGTAACTAAACTCACCCTCCTCCCTTCTCCTATGCACAGCCTTTGTCCGCTCCAAAACACACATTGCCCCAGGCATCCTGAACTTCCTATAAGTTAACGTAGTTAGAGAAAAGGGCAGTTGTGCTTTTCTGTGAAAAACTCTTGTCTAACAGTTTCCTCTGAGTTCCTGTCCCTGCTTTGTGGGTTTGGGGAGCCTAGGCAGTGCAACCCGCGAACCGGTGAAGGGAAGTATCACGTGGTGACACATCTTTACGACTGACGTCACCCCCTTCGTCTCCAGGCAACCGCTCCATCAGCACTCACGTCACCGCACACCCGAGCCGCGCGGTTGCATAGCAACCCCAGCCGTGCGCTCTGCCCGGCCTCGCCGCTCGCCCTGCGCTGGGCTCTGACGCCAGTGTGACGTTAATGAGGCGGTATCAGTTTGTTGTGGCGGAGGCTGAGGAGAGGGGCGGAGTCCCCCATGGCCCGTGAGCTGGGCATTCCGCCGGACACAGAACACGCCACACGCACCCGGGCCTCGGCTACAGTGGAGCGAGAGTCACTGCTCCACAAGTGAGAATACGCGCTAATGTGGAATGGTTTACGCTTCTTCAAGGAGCGGACTGAACTGCGAGACACGGAGGTTTATGTCTTTTTGAGGTAAGGCGCAACTTTTATTAGAGTACATTTTTATTTCCATTTATGGTTTTATTACTTTGACGTCTACTTTGCCTTGTTTTAAAACGCACTAAAGGATATTGTCTGATAGCTAAATATTGGGCCACTGTGGCTAAAAAACATAAAATTTAAAATATCGAAGTGTGGACACTGCGCTTGCCTCGCTACATTTTCTACTTTGGTAGTGCACACTGAAGCTGGTGCCACTGAACTTAGTTTGTAACCCAGCCTCGGTTGCCTTTGGCTCTAGTCTATATCTCGACTGAGTAAACCGTTTAATAAAATAATCTCTATAAGCGTTGTAATATCACTTTCCAACTCTACAACACGGCATCTGGAAAACTATTAAAAACGATCTTTTGTGCTGTTAATATGTCATAAATCTCACATTACTCTGCAGTTATAGTGATACCACCGTTTAGCTGTTTGATGAAAGTTAACATAGATGCTGTATATCAGGCTATAACTTTGTATTATTTTATAACAGCACACATAAAAGGAACCATGCCCCCTGTGTGCAGGTCGTCGCCTTAATTCTTCCCATCTCGACTGCACTATGGTGATCATGTCAGAGAGCAGTGGGGCTCAGTCCAGCTCTGCCCAAGGACGGCCACTGCAGGTGGGCTTCTACGAAATCATCCGCACTCTGGGAAAAGGAAATTTTGCAGTGGTGAAGCTGGCCAAGCATAAAGTCACCAAAACACAGGTCAGCAGCTGCAACAAAACTATGTTGACTCAACATTAATATGTCAGTTTGGGACTTTTAAAACATGTTAAATGCATGTGTCTGTAATTTTGCAGGTGGCTATAAAGATAATTGATAAGACCAGACTAAATCCATCCAACCTGGAGAAAATCTACAGGGAGGTGCAGATCATGAAGCTGCTGAACCACCCCCATATCATTAAACTGTACCAGGTGAGCAGCAGTTACACTGTGTTCTACTTGTGTGCGTCACATGCATAAAGGAGAACTATCTGCAGTCACTCTGAGCGTGTCTCCTCATGTCAGTGCATTTTTGTGCATGCAGTGTATTTGCAGTGGAACTGTCCATTTAGTCTAATCATAGTGCATGTGTTTAGAGGAACAGTGTTTGTGAGTTAGTGTAGTCTTGTGGTTTGTGGGGATTGTGGCTCAGAGCTGCTCTCTGAATCTTGCATACAGAAAAGCTTTTGACGTCGGAGTATCTGAGTTGTCAGTGAGAATAATTGTTGTACCAGTCGGTGCCAGGACTAGTGCATTTCTCACATAGTTTTTCTATGCGTATTGGTAGAGACTGCACCTATATAGGCAGCTCACACTGTAGCTCAACATTAATCCTAATTAGCCTCAGTCCAAGTGCAATGTGTTTGAGCGTCACGTGAAAGCAGCCACACAAAGCACTGCTTTAGTGCTAATCAAATTTAAAGACTTAGAGAATCCGCTTTTTCCCTTCGGCTGGCCCTACAGTGTTGTGGCACGCGTCTGCTAACAAGTGCTCACTCACTAACACAATAGCCCCGTGCTGTTAAGATCCAGGTCAGCTTTTGTTTGTTTGTTTATGACTAATTTGTAATCAATCCTGAAAGAATATAAAAACAAGAATTTCACTTTCAATTCTAAAGCCGCAAATGTTCCAGTTTACATCATGGTTTGTTGTTGTGCAGTGCCTTGAGAAATAACAGAATGATTCTGTCACTTTTTAAGACGCAGCACAGCATGAGATCATCCTGTGATTCAAATCTGACGTCCTTTTTACGTCTATTCACTTTCTGGACCCTTCTTATTCTGAGTGTCTTCGTTCATTTCCTCAATGGCCCCATGAGAAAAGTGATGTTTCCTTTTGTCTCATGACCCTGCACCACCCACACACTACAAATGTTATTCCACCAGCCCTCACTTCACTGTAAAGGTCACTTGAAGCTTCTGCTTTTTGGGCTACCTGAAATTTTTGACATTTTGATTCATTGAATTGGATATCCCAAGCAAATGTGCTATAACTACAGTAAACTGCAGGCCCTGTAAAATTCTAAATATATATATCTCTAAGGAGTTAATCACTGTTGTGGCTTGAGAGCTCTTGACATGCTCTGCCAGTTCTTCAAAGCCTGACGTCAGTTACACCTCAAGGTGACCGGGCCCCAGGGAGCTGCCCTATCACACAGATAAGGCTGCTGACTGCTTGGAGGCATCTGTGGATTAAATCATTGTGAGACAAAAGCTGAAAAGATCTGAGCCCGACCATTCACTAGAAATTTAGTGACATTTAATTCAGAGCCGGCCAGCGGCGCTTCTCAGATATGCCTTTGTCACCGACCAAAATTACTTTTGTTGTCACCTTTGTATCCCATAGGAGTCAAATGAGAATAGTGAGCTCCAGGGAGAACTGGGGATTGTGTTCTTCTTTTTAGATAAGATTGAAGCCAATAAAGGGCTGTGCTGAAATGTGAGACAGAGTCCATGTGAACTGCTGGGGACAAAAAGATGCAATGTGGGTTTTTTTTTTTTTTTTTTTTTTGGAAATGTTAGAAGAAGCTTGTTAATGGAACACTTCACTTATTGATGACTATTGACTCCCTCAGAAAAAAGTCATTTATCACACATCATACTATCATACTAGTTCTATTTCGCATGTACTACAAAAGCAACATGTAACAGTTAATCGAAAGTGATGTGAAGTGAAATAGTTGAAATCAGCCTGAAGCAGACTGTGTTTACAGACTTTGACTGAGCTTGTGGAATGTCTGTTTCTTTTGTCTTTAGGTCATGGAGACCAAAGACATGCTGTACATCGTCACAGAATACGCAAAGAACGGAGAAATGTTTGGTAAGTTCACTTGTGTAATCGACTGGAAAATGATTCAAAGACTTCAGAGAAGTAAATATGAGTTTCCTGTTCCCGTAGACCACCTCACCTCAAATGGACGTTTAAGTGAAGACGAAGCAAGGAAGAAGTTTTGGCAAATCCTGGCAGCCGTGGACTACTGTCACCGGCACCACATCGTTCACCGGGACCTTAAAACTGAAAACCTATTGCTGGATGTCAACATGAACATCAAACTAGCTGGTAGGGAAACAGTTTCACAGTTATTACAGTTATTATAATTTTTATTTGTTTACTTATAGTTATTATCAGTATTTTAGTATTTTTCATGAGTTCTTATTTGGTTATATCTGTTTACATTATTACCTCAGACAATAAAGTATCTAAAAGAGGAAATTGTTTCACAAAACAAATGATTATGGTTTTTCCATATTTCCTATAGATTTTGGGTTCGGCAACTTTTACAACGCAGGGGAGCCTCTGTCAACGTGGTGTGGTAGTCCGCCTTATGCTGCTCCAGAGGTTTTTGAAGGAAAGGAATATGAGGGTCCTGGACTGGACATTTGGGTACGACTATTAAATGTGAGAAAAAAAATACTATGTAAAATTGAACAAGTTAATAACATTTTTTTTTTTTTTTTTTACAGAGCCTTGGTGTGGTCTTGTACGTTCTTGTATGTGGCTCTCTTCCCTTCGATGGTCCAAGTCTGCCTGCTCTCAGACAGCGAGTAACAGAGGGGCGATTTAGGATTCCTTTCTTCATGTCCCAGGACTGTGAAAACCTTATCCGAAAAATGTTAGTGGTAGACCCTGCCAAGAGGATCACTGTAGCTCAGATCAAGCAGCACCGATGGATGTTAGCAGATCCCACGGTCGCCCACCAGACCCTCAGCCACCCCCTGACAGAGTACAACTCAAATCTGGGAGACTACAGTGAACCTGTGCTCAGCATTATGAATACACTGGGTATCGACCGGCAGAGAACCATTGAGGTAAGACACTTTTTTTTTAAATTAAAGACAATAAAATAAAACATTAATACAAGAATACAATAATAATAACACAAAACAAGACGCAAATACATAAATCAATAACATGGTATAAAAAACGCAACATAAAAAAAAAACTAATAAAAAACAAAAACAAAAAAAAGTAAATGTTTTCTAAGGTTGCTTTGTTTTTCCAGTCTCTCCAAAGTAGCAGTTACAATCATTTCTCTGCCATCTACTACCTGCTGCTTGAGCGAGTAAAAGACCACCGCAACCAGCAGCTGAGCCGTCAGTGTGGGACCTGGAGCCAGAGACCCCGGAGTACCTCAGATTCCTCCAGCACAGAGGTGAGTTCCCAAATACATTCATATTCATACTCAAACAGGTTTTAAGGAGTTTTCAAAGTGACTAAATTCATGTGTTATGTCTTTCAGGTGATCATGGAGTCCACAGACAGCTTCAGAACTGCTGCTTATTCTGCCCCATGCAAATCCGCCCCAATCTACACTCCCGAGGTGGAGAGTGAGCACGGGGGACTATTTCAGGTAACCAGATTTGTGGAGTCAATGAAATTCATATTTTTAGCTGGTAGCATGTTTCTTGTGTAATGTGCACTTGTATTTATAAAAGTCTTCTGGGTCTTGTTACAGCGTGTGGTGTTCCCGGTGGAGGCCAGTCTGAATCGCCTTCTGTGGAATCGGTCCATTTCCCCCAACAGCCTCCTGGAGACGAGCATCAGTGAGGAGGTGCGGCCCCGAGACCTGGAGGAGGAGGAGGCATCTCAGTCTCTGGGTCCCCTGCTCCCTCCCACCACCACGTCACGCAGACACACCCTCGCTGAGGTTTCAGCTCAGTTTCATCAGTGCAACCCTCCTTGTAAGTGGCACAATAATGTTGATTATGACTCAATCCTAGTTTTTCTCATTTAGTGATTCATGTGATTAATGTTTTGATGGTCTTTGTAGGTATTGTGGTCAGCCCCTCAGATGGTGCCTCCTCTGACAGCTGCCTGAAGTCATCCTGCAGTCCCAGCACTGTGTCCCAGGCGGCAGCAGGGGGCATGTCCTCCCTTTTGGCCTCTGGGGTAGAGAATAGAGCCTTACTACAGACAGCAACTCCTCTGGCTCTGTCCTCTCACCTCCTCCCCCAGGCACAAGGGGGCCTCCCTGCCAGTTTCCAGGAGGGGCGCCGGGCGTCGGACACTTCTCTCACTCAAGGTACATGAAGTCCAGTGAAGTGCACAGATCCTGCGTCACTGTTGTTGGATCAAACAGGGATCTAACACTCTCTCTGCTTTCCCACAGGCCTCAAAGCTTTCCGTCAGCAGCTGAGGAAAAACACACGCACCAAAGGGCTTCTGGGATTAAACAAGATCAAGGGTCTGACGAGGCAGGCCGCGCCTCTACCCTCCTGCAGCCGCTGTAGCCGAGGGTCACTGGGGCCTGCTCTGACTGAGCACCGCAGCATGCTGGAGGAGGTGCTGCACCAGCAGAGGTAAAGTTCATGTCTGAGAGACGTGTCAACAACATTAAACTTATCATCTTTCTTATGTTAACAATTACAACATTAAACTAACCAAATATGTATTTTTTAGGATGCTTCAGATCCAACACCAACCCCACTCTCAGGTCCCAGCAACTCAGACTGGACCTACCCAGAACCCTTTGCTGTATTTGTCCCCACAGCCGCAGTGTCCTTCCCCTCCTCCTTCAAACATCTTTAGCACAGCGTCGATGTTTGACGCTCCCTCCATCCTGCCCACCCAGGCTGCACCCGTGCCCCTCCCACAGCAGCACTCTCCCTGGCAGCCCACTCTGGAGTCATGCCACTCAGCCTGCTCCTCTCTGTCCCCTGTGGCCTCTGCTGCTTACCTCCTCGAGGCCCGTCTCCACATCAGCCAACAGCCACACCCTCCTCTGCACCTCCAGCCCCAGCAGCCCATCCCAACCACAACACACGCCTTTCCTCTTCGCCCCAAACCAGCCATGTGGGGCGCACCAACAAACGTGGACCCCAACATGCAAGATCTGGGCTTGGCCGGACAGTCTCAGCTTAGCAGTTGTGTCATGGTGAAGTAGCCTGAGCAGTATGGATGAAGAATAAAAACGTGTGGAAAGACTTTGGACCACATGCAGCACTCCAATAAGAACAGGTGTTATTTTATAAGCTATGGACTAAGCAATAACCAAACCTTTGATGGAGACACTAAACTGTATCCAAAAAGCAATAATGAACTAAATGAAGAGTTTCTCAAAGACACTGGAGAAAGAGACAGTAGCCACACAACTGCTGTACTTGTATTACTCCAAAACAGGAAGCTACCATCTTCCTTGTTTTAGGTACATTTCTGAATGTGTCTCACTTCCTGTTCTTGTTTTTCCAACATACTGGACCAGACCAAATATTATTTTTAATTTTTTTTTCGCCTTTCTGAAGAGATGTGTAGCAGTGCATTGAGCGTATAGTATAGTGCCCTAAGCTTACACGTACCCAACCTGAAGGAGTTGAATTGAAACTGTGATGCTAGCTACGCAAATTGCTGCTTTTACCTCAAGCTGCGAAATGACTGCTACAATCTCATCAGCCATAGCTAATATAGGAGTTATGTAAAGTGGCTGATTCAAGCACAACAAGGTACACTTTCAGCTTAGTAGCACCTTACCTGAAGACTTATAGTTCATTTTTAGACATTTACTACCTCCTCAGGCAACACGGTAACAAAGAAAAAAGAAAAGTTATCAGGATATGAACAGAACAAAGATGGGAGCAGTGCAATATTTCACACTCTGTTGTGAATCTACATAGGACGGTCAAAGTTTCGCCTGAGGTTCCTTTTTCTATCTGTGACTAGAAGAGGTACTGGTTATGTAAAACAAAACAAAAAAACGGCCCTCAAGAGTTTTTAAAATTGAAGTTTATTTGGGTTTTACCAAAGAAAGATAGCACAAAAGAAAGGCCAACAGTCACAGATCACACTACTGATGATTTCACTTTAAATGTTGTTTTACATGTAGCGTAGTCATGTGCTAGTATTCTACACAATCTTTCGAGCTTTGAGAAAACTCCTGCTGCCACCAAACTCCAGTTGTGTTGAAACATTTCTAGTTGGTACTACCAATGTTGAGGTGGTATTACTTTTTGTACTTTTGTAGAAAAAACGAATAAAAAATGAAGTTAAAAAAATCCTGTCATAGCAATACCATTTTGTGCTGGATACGTGGGTAGAAAAGGTGTCTAGATGCTGTATTAGATATCAATATATAATTTTTGGCTTGTTAGTTTATATGAGTCGCATGCAAACTATGTATTCCTGGTTTGGGAGTCACTTCCAGCACTTGTGCCTTTCTCTGAACAAAAAGTCTGCGACTGAAGAATCAAACAAGCAGAAGGCCCTTTTTGATACCTTTTCTATTTTGCTGTGTAAACAAAAGCACTTTAATTGTGTTACAAATTTTGTCAAACTTCATACTTTAAACACTACGCCCTTTTGATATACTTTACAATGAGAAGTATCCATGTTTGTGTGTTAATGTGAGCATATGCATGTCACTGTCTGCGTGTGTGTGAGTGAAGAGACAGGTCACTCAGAACTAATGGAAACACAGCTGTTGACCTGAGAAAGAGTGTTTATTTATGTGGCTATTTATTTAAATAAACTTCACTTCCTAAATGTTTGCTTCTTGGTGTTTTTGTGTTTTATGATTTCAAAGGTGGAAAATAGGTGGAAAACTGCTTAATTATATGTATGAATGTAAATTCAAATACAAATATCTATAGTCAAGTTATTTAGACAGACAATATTGATAATAATATTGTATTCATTAATTAATCCTGTATGTTGGTTTAGTGTCTCTTGAGTTATAGTTACAAATATGGTAAATAGTCACATTTTTATATAGTGCTTTTTCACTTTCAAGGCACTCAAAACTCTTTACATCCAAGAATCACTCACCCATTCACACACTCACCCATATTCATACACCAGTGTACGCAGAAACTAGGGGTGAGGTGAGTTAAGTGTCTTGCACAATGGCAGTATTCATTTGTGGGATCTGAATCTCACTGCCAAACTGTGGGCCAGCAGATCTGACTGTTCAATCAGTGATGTTTATGTCAAGACTGAGATTCTATATATGTAAATATCAAAAAGAATCTTGTGTTCTTATTGGGAAAAAATAGCCATTATTACATCACCACAGTCGTCATGGTGTGAAAAGAGATGATTTATCCACATTGAACATGAATAACTCAGGCTGATGGAAGTTGTCATCTTTGAGAATAAATCTTTTTTAATCAGTTGTTGATGACAATGGATTCCAAAGTTGTGACCTCAGCGATTACAGTGACACAATAATGATTCAAGACTGACTTCAGACCTCTGTAACACTTTGTACTAACTAACTAGTACATGGCTTAAGGGTCCTACATTACACAAAACTGACTCTTGTGCTTTTTAAGCCATGTTATAATCTTGTTACCTCATCAAAAACATATCTGGAGTTCTGTTTTGTTTCATTGACACATATTTGAATAACCCTTTATTATTAGTCTTTCTACATCTCCAAAGCTCAAAATGTAGTAGTTTAACAGCCCCTTTTACCTTTAATTCAGTAGAGACTTGAAATTCTAGGGCTGGAATCATCCAAATTATTTTTGTGAAGGTGTATGGAGTTTAAAAACACAGTGTACTACTAAATGATTAACCAGATGAAACAGTGAACATGTGTTTTCTGTTTTGAGAGATGAACTCGGCCTAAATATGCAGGTATGTGTGAACGAAAAAAACAAAACAAAAAACACAGGAAATAACATTATAACTAATCAGAATAGATAAATATAGTATCCACAATATGGGCTCCTTCAATAAATCATGAAGAAAAATAAAATTCATAATTAACAAATACTTTGCTAAGAATCATTCAGGCTTAACAGCTTAGTAATTCTTCCTTACCCTAACCTCTTAATATTGTAGTTACTAAGCCTGAATCATTCTTGTAGTCATTTTAACTCCTATCCCAAAGGAAGAGTTATGATGTATGTTTGTACGTGGAAATAGAATGACGCAACATTCAAAAGAACATCCAGGCCAAATACTACACGCGCGCCACCTTTTTTTATGATATCCAGTTAAGCAGTGGAGCGAGGGCGGTGTTAATTTACACTGAAGTGGACAGATCCTCTCCCTGACTTACTGCTTGGCACATGCCGCTCTCACACATACGACATATGGCTGGACATTTGGCGTGAGTTGTTAGGAAGGATCTGAAGGAGAGACTGGACCAGGGGCCACAAACGCATCAGTCATGAGTGGAGGCCAGCTGCAGACATGACCTTGTCTTACCTAACTTAGCTTCTCTCAACACAGCACAGCACGATTTATAGCAGGCATGTAAATCTGAGTCTGGTTGAAGTGTTTCAGGGCCCATTACTATGACAACAGGTGAGAAAATATAAACAGTGGAAATCTCTATAGGTTTTTTTGTTTTATTTTTGTTTTGATTTTGTTTTGTTTGATTTTGTTTTTTTGTTTTAGTTTAAAGGTCCAGTGCTACACAAAATGTACTCAAAAAGTACCTGGGGTTGTGTTTTGTTTCATTCACACATGTTTAAATAAACCTTTGAGGCAAACGTCACTATATTCAACCGAAAGATATGGGGCCTAACACTGACCTCTGGGGAGTTCCCCCAAAAGTTCAAAGTTAGAAAAAATATATCATCTAATCTATTGTCTGATCTCTATTAAAATGTTGCATCCTCATTACAAAGATGCCTGGAGTCGTGTTTTGTTTTGTTTCATTCACGCACGTTTAACAAACGTATCATGCATATTTAGACTTACGATTTCTCCTCTCAAACTGAAAACACTTCACCTTATGATGTGACATGTGGTAATACAGGAAGAGCTGTATTGTCACACCGTCACTAGAATTATTTGGATGATTTCAGCCCAGCAATTGCCAATCTCTACTGAACTAAAGGTAAAAGCTGTTAACTTGAAAATTACCACTACATGACATCACAAGGTGGAACAGAGCATTTTGACCTTTGGAGATGTAGACAGACTAATAATAAAATATTTAATGTGTGAATGAAACCAAACACAACTTCATGTTTTTGATGAGGTAACACCATTTTAACCTGGCTTAAAGATCACAAGAGTCAATTTTGCATAATGCAGGACCTCCGAAAGGGAGGATTTTACTCTTAAAACACTGTGTATGTACAGAAAATATTATCCTAAAATATTATCCTATATCATATGACATATTTATCTCAACAAAAAAGTACCCTGAGTCCTTGCAAAGCTCAGCTTACCTTCAAAACAATTGCATCTCAAGGATTTGTATTGTTTTTGCTGGCCCCAAGCCAAATAAAAAAAAGAAAAAGTGGATCAGAGAAAATCAAAACATGACTAGCATGACTAAACATACAGGTTATTTCTGAATGTGAAAACAGATACATTACTTCATGTTGTGGTCATCTGTCCAGCGTAGTCCATGGTAAGAGAGGCTGGGTTTACTGTTTATAACTACATGAGGTTTGCTGAGTATTGGTGCATGTAATCTGAGCTCTGGGGTCGAAGCAAATCTGTCTGGGTCACTCAGGGGACTCCAGTAGAACTTACTGTATTCAGAACAGCCTGTACCTCAGCTTTACTTCTGAACTAAGATACAAACAAGCCAGACAAGTACTATACATACTATTAAAGGTCCTATATGACACAAAATTGACTCTTTAAGCCATGGTATAATGTTGTTACCTCCTCAAAAACATACCTGGAGTTTTGTTGTTTGTGTTTTGTTTCATTCACACATGTTTGAATAATCCTACATAATTAGTCTGTCTGCATCACCACAACACATTGTTCTGTTCCACCTTGTGATGTCATGAAGTGGTAGTTAACAGCTACTTTTTGCCTTTTATTCAGTAGAGATGGGCAATTCCAGTGCTGAAATCATCCAAATAATTTTACTGAAGGTGTATGGAGTTTTAAAACACATTGGAGCACTTCCTGTATTACCACATGACATCACAAGATGAGAGTAATTCAGTCTGAGAGAAGTACTTAGAATTAATATGCAGGATTTGAGTGTTAAACATGTGAATGAAACAAAATACAACTCTAGGTATGTTTGTGATGAGAAAACATTATAATATAGATCAGAAATTAGCGTAATATAGGTCCTTTTATCATTTAATACAAAAGTAATTTGTCCATTTAGAGTTAATCCGCTTTGACAAGGCTAATAATTCTCCCAACAGTAGCGTTACAGTCAAAATGAGCTCAGCTGGTATAATGTATGCATATGAATCATTTTCCTGGCATTAAAGTGTTGCTGGTTTAGTCAGAAAATAGAATATATTTATGACAAGGGAAGTTGTGCTTAATCCATCACTAAGAGTATGTGACACTCCACACCACCAAAAATACTCAACACTTCCTGTCCAGCTGGCATCTTTAATACTTAATCATTAATACTAGTGTCTTATACGGAAGCTGTAGTTTAAATTTAAAAATAAGAATTTGAAACAGGACACGATTGTCAAAGTTCCTTCCAAAGGCACTCATATGACAGTTTGACTACAAGGACATAGAAATCACTGGTATGGACGCTGTATTTATAAAATATTAACTGAATAACCTTGGATAACTTTTCAAGATACCCCAACTAAGAGCTTTACCATTATTCTTTCACTCCATACACCAATGTTTCCCAAAAACTGAGTCGCGATTGTCAGGTGGGTCGCAAGAGATTTTTTTGGGTCACGATCTACATGTATTTCTGCAATATACAGTTCTGATCATCATTCTAGATAAGCATTTCATCAGAATATCCTGTCCTCAGTAGGGCCAGTATTTCTATGCTTATTCCTTTCACTACTACATATATGTGTAAATTGGGATTTTCTGTGCTCACAGAAATGAAGACAAAGCATAAAAACAGACTGAATGCTGCGCCTGATCTGCGTGTTGCGCTCTCCTCCTGCACCCCGGACTGGAACACCAACAAAAACGCAGACAGGCCCATCTATCTCATTAGAAATGCTGAAATGTTAAGACATGTTTTGCTTCTAATCTTTTTGTAATTACTTTATTGACTATTTTGTTCCAATATTGCTGGTTCAATTGAACATTGAAAAGAAAAAGAAATGGGGAACATTTAATGTCCAAATAGGCAACTGATGGATCTTTTTATTGATGCTTCAATCACTGTTTTTCATTTTTAAAACATGAGTAATACTAATTGTTCAGAGAGACATGATCACTAAGTCAACAATAAAATATCCTCATTAATGTTCAGCAATGGTCAAATCCACCTTTATTTTGTGATTTACAAATAATGTCTATTGACTTGGGTCACGAAGGTTTGTGACTTTGGGTCACCAGAAAAAAAAGTTTGGGAACCACTGCCACACTCGATGTAATCCCTCATTCATTCAATTCAGTGGGAGTCATCTGGTCACTGGACTGAAGTCACTGTCAATCTGAAGGTACTGGCCTGAGAAACTATAATTTATACTGCTCTGAGCTAGATTAGTCCTGCCCAGGGGAGGAGTTATAATATGAAACTGCTCTACTTTATGTACCTGCTTGCTTTGTTTTGTTTTGTTTTGACCCTATTGTTCTCTGTTGACCTTGTCCTCACAGCCTTTTCCCTGATGGCCTGGCATG